GAATATTGTTATCTGTATAATAAAAAAGTGTTTTCGCAGGTCGGGTTTTCTTTTCGGAAAAAAGTGGTCAGAGGATCAACGGGAAGAGTTGCGTCTCAATAAGACCTTGTGCTTTATTAATAGTCATTGCAAAAGATAATTTAATAGGAAATTGTCTTCTTATTAATGTAAAAGGAAGATCTGCATCAGATGGTTGTAGCCTTATTCGAGGTATAAAAACTCTTGTACCTTGATTAATTCCAGTTAAAATTTCAGCATCAATAACATTTTGGTGACAATTTTTTACTATTAATCTGGTACTATTATATAATCCTTCAGATATACTTAGATTATGTAACAAAATAATAGGAGCATCTTTTTTAAGTACTAACTTGTGAGAAGGTGTTCCACTTGGTGTTAAAGTATTTAAAAATTCAATAGGATAAAGACTTTAATCTACTTGAGCTTCATCCTCTATTGAATCAGCAGATAAAAATTTATAATTTTCATCAGGAATTTTTTCAAGTACTTGCTGATTAATTTCTTCAACATCAATATTTTTTGTTGCTAAAATTGCTCTGTCTCTAAGATAATCATTATTTTTATAATTAGAATTAATATTATTAAATACTTCTGATATTAAATCCTCAATATTTTCAGAATCCAAGACTATATCATCAGGTAATTTAATTATATCATCACTAATATCAGAATGTATTGGCTCTTTTCCTTCACCTATTCTTAGTAAAAAATCTACAAAATTTTTTTGTTCAATATTATTTTGTTGCTGAACTCTCATATTAATTGTTAATTTTAAGCTTTGAAAATGTTTCCAAAGAGTAGAAGATTTCAAGCATACATCAACAACTTGTGCATGTGTACCTCGAACAACTACTGGTAATACTTGTCTAAAATCACTACCAAGAATTAAAATTTTGCCTACAAAAGGTTTATCAATACATGTTAAATCTCTAAATGTTCTGTCAACTGCTTCAAATATATATCTATGAATCATTGAAGCTTTATCCTACAGAATTGCTTTTGCAGTTAAAATTAAATTAGCTAATTCTGATTGTTTGGGAATATTTAAAGTTGTAGATTCATGTGGTTTTAATAGAATTTTAAATCTAGAATGTGCAGTTCTACTACTACTAATTAATAATGCAGCAATTTCTGAAGAAGCTACTGCAATTGCAATTCCATTTATTCCACTTCTTGATGATCTTATATGAGCTAAAATTATATTATATAAAAATGTTTTTCTAGTTCCTCCAGGTCTATCAATAAAGAATAAATTTTGATTTATTTCATTATTAATTGCTTTAATAATAGTATCAAAAATTGTTTTTTGATCACTATTTAATTTAACTAAATTTAATAATGTTTGATCAATTTTATCTTGATCATAATTTTGTTCTTTATGAATTAAAGAATCTAATTGATCAATTTCTAATAATGAATAATCAATTTCTGGAAGTTCAGAAAAATCAGTTATAGCTACTCCATTTTGATGTAAAAAATCATTAATTTCTATTAATGCTT